GTGTGTGTGTGTGTTTTGCGTGTATATATTTCCATATAACATCGAACATGCGAATTCGCCAATGACGTAACCAGGGGGCAGTGGAAGGACTTGAAGAACTTTTAAGTAGCGGCAAAGCATCCGCAAGGGACTTATGACGAGCGTACATTTATCGTATGTATGTATGTATGTCGACAGAGGAATACAGATATGTGTTGCGTGCAAATACACACGATCTACCACGTCTAAACTTTATATTCTCTATATTGAACGACGTTCGAGTACCTTCCAATGATTTTTCATAAGCTTTGAGTACCCTAGCTAGTGGTTACGCTAATGGAATGTACCCGCAAATTTAGTCCAATTGGATCGGATTAAGATGCCACCGTGAATCGGGCGTTTCAAATAAATTGCACCAACAGATTAGTAATTGTCTGTTCGGTTAATCTGTGTTAGATATAACGCACTTAATGCTATTCAACACTGTAGCGAGAGAAAAACAACGGAAACAAGAAGAAAGGAAAGAGAAAAACGGCGAGAAACACATAGACTTCGATAGTATTTTTGGATTTTTTATCGATGGAACTCGACGCCAATGTACGAATAGAAAATGACGTGGGGCATTGTTGGAATCGCAATGGAGTTATTGTATGCAAAGTTTTCAACTGGAAACTGGAAACTGTTCCTCACCTTCGTACGTAATTACTCCATTGCAAATGATTCTCATTAGAATTTCTACGACACAATTCAAAGATATACAGACATACAGAATTGAACGACATCGTGTAAAGTAAAATCGATATTGGCAGCAATCGTAGCGCAATACTCTTCTCTCGGTTCTCGCGATCCCTGACAAAGGAAATCAACAAAGTGAGGTACCACGGTAATATCACATCAAACGATCTTCCACGGAAAGGTTTTCTCTCTCTCTCTCTCTTTCTCACTCACTCTCTTTCTCTATCGTGAATATATCTGCTCTAGTTGTACAAATCATTTGCAAGACACGCAGTCTTGGGAAGAACTGTTTGAAAGAACGTAGCATTAGGAACACCAAGACACTTAACGAATAAAATACAATAGTTGTCGCACACGCGACACCGTACCGACAGATACACAATTTCGCCGCATTAACAATTCTCGAAAAAATCACGTCTTTTATATATCGGTTCCTCTTCTAATGTCTCTTTATATTTTATAGTTACAACAAGACGCACTTCGGATTTAACGACTTCGACGTTACCTAATAACGTAGTTCTCGTGTAAACGTGCCCAAAGCTTTTCGCATACGCGCGCGAAAAACAAATTCGTAACGGTTGCACTCGCTCGGCCATTCGCGGCAGTCGTCGCTCGTCCGTCGTCAGCGAAACGTTTCGTAGTCGCGGTATTTTGACGTTTCGATTCGATACGATGAATCGTGCAACTATGTTCATTCGTTTGTGCATACGCACAATCTACGATTGCCATTCGAATGTTTATCGAATGCGATCGACAATCGTTAAGATCGATAATCGAACGTTTCGAAAGCGACGCAGCGAGATCTGCGCGAAGGCCAGTTTGCCGGTAAAACTTGTGGTTGGTGAAACTTACGAAACGTTATTTCGCATAGCGTCGAAAGCGAATAATAAATTTCGGATATCAGACGGTGGTTTCTCGAAAAATCTTAACCGACGAGTCTGCGTGTTTAATGTGGATATATCTCGTGATGGTGGTCGCGCTGTTGTTATTGTTGTTGCTGTGGTTGTCGTTATTATTGTTGAATATCTCACGACTGCTCAAGCTGGACATCGTACCCGATTCGGACTCCTCGTTCGTCACGTCTGCAGGCCAAGAATCAATCACTGACCAACTGTCTCGTGGTTATAGCAGAGCAGATAAAGGTAACACGCGTATATCTTTTATACGCACTTCTCTAAATAAACAAATGTATATTGTAACACATGTAATTTATCTCCGTTTCGAAGATTCAAACAATCTACGATTGCCACACGAAATCGATCGAATTTAACAAATTTGATTTCGAGATGAAACTTCAAACTTACGGAACGTTATGAAGTTAGCACCAAGAAAAGCAAATGGCGGAAAGTCACAACGATTCAAACAGATTGACTACTACCGTGTGTCAGGTTTCTTTCAAGTTAGAAACTTTACGAACGATCTCTTCGATTTTACTTCGATCTGCTCTACCATGTAAAACAAAATATTAAGAATGCATTGCGATGCAACGTGCAAAGGAACACTTAATCACGTAAAACATAGGTTGTAAATAAAAGAAGCATCTTTCGGTTGTATTGAAAATAAATTTATATTTACAAGCGAGGAGGAAATAATAATTACCAATAAGACGTCTGTTCTAGGTCGTAAGCATCAAGTGAAACCGAAAACAAATGCACGATAGATAGATCGATTATTCGAATCTGCGGTATTCATTACGATCAGATCCAAAGGTGTGGAAAAATAAATGTTGCAAATTATTTCTTACTAATTGTAAGTATGAGCGTTTTTGAGTGACTGTTTCTCATATTGCATAAAATCTTTCTCGGCAAGACAGAAAGCAGAGTGTGTTCAGTATATTTATATGCAAATTGTTTTACAGTTAAACAATATTGATTTGACTTGGCACTAATCTTTCTCAGAGACGTATACGAACATTAATTTCATCAGGAAAGAAAATGTTAAATAATTGTATGTCACGTAAAGGAAACTACATATCGTTAGCTCTCATATCGTACGACTAACACTTTTACTGTATAAGTTAATATCCTATTACTACTAAAACGAAAGTAACTTTGGCAGTCGAGCCCAAATAATGGACTACGTGCGTGTCACGTCTACACGTACGTTTCTAATATTCTATCATATAGGATACATTAAATTTGGCAAGGGTTACGTAGGTGCACGTAGAAGCACATGTTCACAATGAAAATGTACACTACAGATGGAATTTTCATAATGACGTGAACGAAGAGATAGA